ACTGGACAGGCCCGTCTTTCGAGCCAGTTGTTTCTCAAGAATGAGGGCCCGTTGATGTGCATCTGAAACCGACTCTGGAACCACAAGACCAACCAACTGTCCCTTCGAATCATGTATCTCCACACAAGTTAAGAGACGATAAAAGTCCTCCGTATATTCAGAATGTGGACCTTGCCGCAAATTGTGTAACTGTTGATAAAGCACATGATCATAATTAAAAGGGAGAAATTCACATTTTAATACTTACAGAACTGCATCCAAGTGGAGATTTCTGGCTTCCCCTGACGATGCCGCAAACTCGTGAGTTGCATCCACCAAGCCGCCGCTCGTCCACGGAACCACGTGGCTACAAGCACGACACACCTTTCGTCTGGGACCGCCTTAAATTCGAGGACGGACTCAACTGCAGCCCACCAGTCGAGGAACTCCGCTGCATCTGCTCCACCCGAAAACTCTGGAATATCGGCCCAAAATCCTAATTCCCAACGTGGGTCACCGTGGCTGTCAATGGAGCGACAAAACTCACGCCGGTACCGTCCGTCAGTATCATCACCATCCCCAAAACAATCTTTTCTAATTTGCCCAGGTGCTTCCCACAAACCATTAGCACCGTTGCGACCATCGATCGGGACCCGATGAGGGCCGTCCTCTGTTGCTCCAGGCCGACGACCTCGACGTCGCCCGCCATCCATCTCCTCCCAGAAGTCGTCATCAGACAGAGGTACTTCCTGGCGGGGCGGTTCGTCCTCTTCCGTTTCAGCTGCAGTCCTCCACCGGCCTCTCGCACGGCGACCGTCAACTCCATCACGAAACCCCATACCACCGTCCCGGTCATGGCGGGGAAACCATAAATCGCCGCCCTCGCGAAATCCAAAATCACCATCTGGATCACCATGGCCAACAAACCCTAACCTGCCGCCGTAGCGAAATCCAGTGCCACCATCCTTGTAACACGCACGGAACCTGTCGGCAAATGGGTTGTCGTCTGTCAAAGTTCTGTCCGAGTCTTCGGCGGTCTGCAGTGGTGGTGGTGATCATCAACGGGGTGCCCCGCCGAATCCTCGACCGCTACGACCCCCACGCTGTCCCACTCGAGCGCCCTGGTCAGCCACATCGCGTTTTCGACGCATCTCGTCCATCATGGTTCGCATCATCAGTCGAAGTTCCTCGAAGCCCGTTGAAAGGTCCGCAAGTCGTTCATCAATCCTCCGAAATCGTTTATTAACGGAGTTGTCATTCACGACTTTGTCTCTCTTTGGCGGCATCGTGGATCGTCGTCTGGTCTGCTGATACCAACTGATGTAGAACGTGATACGAGAAGGGGAAATAACAAGATACTCTCTCGCAAATGTTCATAAAGCAAAAATATTATTCCTCCAAAAACTGTATGCGTTCTGTTCTCAAGGCAGATAAATATAAACAGAGTCCTCACATCTCTGGACTACTAACATAATTATTTGCCTACCAATTTAATTAACTAAACAAAGAAATAAATAAAATAATGTACGTGACTAATCAAATCAACGCCGAAAGGCGATCGTATTTGTCCAGAAAATCCAACGCGAGCTCGTCTCCATCAGATTGTTACATTTTTTTATGTTGTTTTACTCTTTTGTGTAATCAAATATTATTAACTTTATTTATTTTTTTCTGAAAAAAAAAATGTTCATTTGATAAAGTCTCTTTAACAGAAATACCATGCAATGTGGTACAAAAGTTCAATTTAAATCAATTTTTCAACCAAAAATTTATTATTCATGTTGAGCTTAAATTATAAATACATAAAATCTTTTTTTTTTGTTATTGTTTAAAAGATTGATGATGATACAGATTCTAAGTTCTTACAAACTTGATTGTACACGTATCTATATTTATATTTGTAGTAAATACATTTTTATATGAAATGAGTATTTCGACTTTAACTATATCTAGTTACTTATAGCATTTTAAATCGGGCCCACCTGAATAAAATTTCTAGATTCGTCACTGGGTGAACTGATTGATTTTTTTTACATGATTCTAAGAGGGTGATTGGATATGAATTCAACTAGTACAATACTAGTTTTTTTAACTATAGTTAAGTTTGAAAAAAAGTAGTATGATTAGTTGTTAGTGAATATGTTAAAATAATATTTAAACTAAAATAATTAAAGTTGATTTGATGTAAAAGTAGGAGAAAATGATTTGAAGTGATAGTTAGTTAAAATTATGTGAGTGGATGAATATTGAGTTAAAGTTGATGTGATGTGTAATAATGGTTAGTTGATATTATTTAATTATATTGATAATATTGGAGATAGTGGAGTTAAGTTAAATTTAAGTTTTGAGTGGTATATTTACTATAGAATTCATAAACAATCACGCCCTAATTTGTTATGTGAACAAACTTTTTTTGTGTCGAAATTCTAATTAGTATTTTTTGTTCCTGCTTGATTTAGTAATCCAACGTTTACTTTCCAGGTAATATCCTGATAAAAATATGGCAATGCAAAGACTGTTGAAGCTTTCAAGAAACTGTAATATGCTTATGAGGTGATTTATTTCGCTTTTTTGTTCTTTTTCTCTTCCAACGTAAAAAAAAATGTTGCTTATATTGTTTTAGAGTCGTGAATGTGAAAAAAAAAAAGTTTCTATACATAGAATCTATTATCGTGAGATTCTCATGAGTATTCGAGGTTGTTTTTTTTCTCTCTCTCTCTCTATACCCTAAATCCCTAAATCTTCTTTAAGTCGCCGTCATCGTCCTCGATTGTCTTCCCCGGCAGATCGGGGCCTCTACCGGCGGATGGCCCGTAGGCGCTATGCCCTTGTCCTAATTTCGTGTTCCCCTTTTCCGCTCGCGCAGGTGGAGCTTATTGACCTCCCTGCGGCCGGGTGTCTCCTCTTGCAGGTTGCCGTTCGTGGGTGCGGTTTGTCGGCCTTCCTGGTCTTGCGGCGGTTCTAGGTGGTGGTGCAGGAGTGGGGCTTGGGTGTGGCCCTAGTCGCTCGTGTGATCTGTGGCGGGACGACTGGGGCGGAGGAGTTGCGATTTTTCCCATGTTCCCTTGTTTCTCTGGTGTGGGGTCGATGGGAGGCCGGCGTTAACGGTCAGCGGCCAGTGGTGATGGCGGGACTGGGACGGTGGTGGTGTGAGGGGATGTGGATCGTCTCTCTTCTGGCTATGGGTCAGGTTCTTCTTCTTGGATGGGATTGAGTTCTGTAGTCCCGGCTTCAGTTAGGCGTTTGGCAGTTTCGGGAGCAGGTTCTCAGTTTTCGGTCTTGTCCTTTTGGTGGTAGACTTGGGTTTGCTGGTGTTTCGGGCTTGGATCTTCTGCTCGGGGAAGGACCTTGAGTTGGTTTCTTTTGTTTTAGTTTGTGTGTTGTTTCTGTGTTGTTTGTTTTGTGTTTTTGTTGTGTTGGTGCTTTTGTTTTGTGTTGTGTTTTGTCCAGTTGTTTTGTGTTATTCTCCCGTTGGGAGCGTGTTATTCTCCTTTTGGGAGCGTGTTATTCTCCTTTTGGGAGCGTGTTTATTCTCCTGTTGGAAGTGTGTATTGTTGTTGTATCGTGAGTGAGTTAGCGTAGACGATTCTAGGCTACCTTGTGTAGGCCTCCTAGATTCAGCTGTTTGGCTGCTTGGCTATTCTAGCTGATTGCTAGTTGTAATTATGTGTTCTTTCGTTTAATATAATTCTATCGTTTCGGAAAAAAAAATACATAGAATCTATTGGATGTCTCCAATATATGTATGTATATATATATATATATATATATATATATATATGGGCTGGTTCAAATGCGGCCCACTCTTAAAATGCGGCCGTGAGACCCAATTTGGGTCGTCCATTAAACAGGCGCAAAAACAATTCACATGCGCGCAATTAGATACATTATATATATATATATGTGTGAAACACGTACAGTTCAAATAGGAAACAATCACCTTCGCGCAAAAACTTACACGGAGAATCGCGAGAAAATCTTCCCAATCTCAACTTTCCTTCTCAATCTGATTATCTTCTCAATCTCAACTTTCCGACATAGTTAATCGCGCAATACAAAAAGCAACGATCGAAGGATTACTGATAAAGTAGGATTAAACTGCAACGATGATGGAGGTTATATCAACAGAGATTGGAGCATCTCCATTGCCGACAGTACTGGCAGAAGGTATTCAATTGATTTTGATGTTGATTTTGATTTTAATGTCAATATTGTTGATTCTAATTTTGACGCAATAGTTGAAATTTAAATTATTCGAGGTTGATGAAGTTGATGTTGTTGATTTTGATCTTAATAAAATTGTTTTTGATGAAAAAACCATAATTTACGCAGAATATAACACCCAATCTGCACCTAATTGATCATGTTAGTCAGAAACTTTGATTTACGATTTAATCGTCGATTTCTGAAATCTAGCACGCATGATCAACTATTCTAGCAACCAAGTACAACTAACCTAGCATGAATATACAACTAACCTAGCAATCACAAAACAAGTAACGTGTCAACTGGACATAACTAACCTTGAAAGTGAATAGAACTATCGTAGCAACAAAATACATCTAACCTAGCACCTAGAGACAACTAACCTAGCAGATGGATAAAACTAACATTGCAAGTGAAAAACACCTAACGTAGCAACTGGACATAACTAACATAGCAACATGATAGAAGTACCCTAGCAAATTACATAACTAGCCTAGCAACATCAGACAAGTAACCTAAAACCAACAGAAAACTAACCTAGCACCAACAGTCATTTAACCTAGCAACAACATACAACTGACGTTGCAACGGGATATAACTAACCTAGCCCCAACAGTCAACTAACCTAGCAGCAACGGACTACTAACCTAGCACCATAGACAACTAACCTAGCACTAACAGGCAAATAATCTAGCAACAACATATAATTAACCTAGCAACTAGACACAACTAACCTAGCAACTAGACATAACTTTTACCTTTCAGCTATTGCAATTATTAAGTGGCTTATGAATAATTCCTATTGTATTTTGCAGCATCTATTACACATGGGGAATGCCAATTCCAATTGGTGATATCACCAAATTCAACAAAGTATTGGATACCAATTGTCAAAGAAGATATAAAGCCTAAAGTTGGCTTGATCTTTGAAACCCTTGAAACTGGACTGCAATATTACAGAAACTATGGAGCAAACGGTGGATTTGATGTTCGTATTAGCTCGAACAAACGTTTTAGAAGTGGGATGGTAAGAAAACAACTCATAGTTTGCAGCAGAGAAGGATTTAAACCACAGTCAAGGACAAATAATCCACAAGGAGGAGGAGTTCAACGAGAACATGTTTCAAAAAGAGTTGGCTGCATGGCTCGGGCAGTGTTCGAATATGATGATGGAAAAAGATACAAGATTACATGCTTTGAAGAAAAACACTGCCACAGTCTGACGTTGGAAGCACATTATCTGAATGCAAACAGGCAATTGAATTATGGCCACCAGAAGTTTGTCCTAAATTGTGTAAAAGCCAACATTGGAACGGCTAAAACACACAGGTTGTTCAAAGAAATGGTTGGAGGATATGAAAATGTTGGTGCTCTGGCTGCGGATTTCAAAAACTTCAAAAGAGATCTTATGGCTTACATGTCAGGGGCAGATGCACAACTCATTGTACAAAAATTTCTCAGCAAGCAAGAAGTTTACCCGGACATTACATTTGAATATGCAGTGGATGAAGAGAAAAAATTAAGCCGAATCTTTTGGGCAGACCAAATATCAAAAAGAAATTACCTCATGTTTGGGGATGTTGTTTCATTTGATGCAACCTACAACACTAACAGGTACACAATCATTTCCCTTGACTTGAATATGATTTATATGAAATGTAATGTGTGAATTAAACTGACTTTACAACTAGATATAACTAACCTAGAACTAGCATAGAACTAACCTAGCACTAGCATAGAACTAACCTAGCACCAGTAGAGACAATCACACAACTAACCTAGCAAAATGCTCTCCCTTCTCTCTAGATTTCTCTCTCTACCCACACCTTTTCCGTCCACCGCCTAGCTATGTCACCGTCCTCCTCACCGGCGCCGACCCTTGCGGCGCTGGCACACCAACCAGTTACTGAAACAAATTCAACCAATTCACAACATCAATCTACCATCTCAAACTCACCCGCTGTACAAAGTTTCGCAGAACCAGAATTCTCGAATAAAAATGTCAATCCATTCGAAGAAGAAGCTAAGGTATTGCCTCCTCAAGCATTATTTCCTGAATCGTTTGAAGTTGTTGGCAATGTTGGTGCTATCTCAAGCTTCTCCTCAAAGATACCGCACGCAGAGGTCATCATCCCGGATTTAATCGCTCCGGCCTTGCAAACCTTGAACAACAACCCAGGCGTTTCTTTGTCAGAGTTTCAAATTGGTTCTCTACCGGTGAATCTTCGTCAAGATCCGCCATTTTTGCCGGCTAAATCACTAAATTCGCCGAGGTCTGTTCTATCTAATGGCGGCGTTGACTTTGGCTCCCAACTCCATGGACAACTGGATGGTGCTTCTGGTTCCATTTCCCCTCAGCTCACAGGTCACGCGTATGGGCCGGACAATGCCAGGTTAGTATTGGGCCTATCCGATTTTGGGCCTCATCACAATTTAACCCACATTTCTGGGCATCCCGATCTTGGGTCAATTCCCCAGCCCACTAACCATACCCAATTTACCACCACCCATCTAGACCGTGATGGGCCTCCTACTGGCCTTCAGCCCAATCCCGCAACACCCAAAAACCATCCCATTTTGCAGCCCATCACTACAAACACTGATTTCCACCCGTCTAGAACCTCTGCAGACAACATGTTCCAACGGGATAACAACAACCAACTGACCGGTGCCGGCGCCGGCGCCGGCGCCGTCAACAACAAGACCTCCGGAGATGTTCAGTCGGCCGGACCTGGGGAATGTAATATCCAGCCTACTAACCCAAGCATTTCTGCAAACATCCCACCGGACCATCACAGTAACGCCCAACAGCATCTTGCTGGTGCCGGCAACATTCTTGCCACCGAACCATCACAACCGGCCGACGACATTTTCAGGGCAGCCCCAGAGTTGGCTCCGTTGACCGGCACCGGCACCTCCACTGGCCCGGTTTCATTTTGGGAGGCCGTTACGGGAAAGAAAAAGGGCGGCTCGAGCTCCCAAAACCCAACACCGAAAGATTATCCATTCGACGGGAATTACGAACATGCTTGTGGTACCATCACCCGCTCGGAGGGGAACAAAGTGAAGGCCCGTTTCACTGACGCCGAATCTGGCGACCTGTCAGGTAAACTAGATAACACCCTGGTATTTAAGTTTTCTTATGCTATCACCGCCCCTCGAGATATATCTGCTGGATTAAGGAAATTGGGTTTTAAGGGTAGTGTATCATCGAAGTGGTTCAACTTAAACCATCTTCTTGTGACCTTCCACCTCATTGAGGATTATAATGAGGTCTGGCTTAAGACCTTGATTCATCTATGTGGATGCCCAGCTAGGGTATTCAAATACTATGTCGGATTTAACCCAAAGACGGAGGCGCCGATTGTCCCTGTTTGGTGCCGCCTTCCGGGCCT